TTTTTTTCTTTTAAAATAAGTGTTCTTTGTTTTTAAAGAAGTCCTTTTGTAATTCTACTGTGATCTTATATTTTTACATTTCTGCATTATAAGTATGTATATTATAGTAGATCCTTTAGCAAACTTTCAAAAATTATCTTGTAACGAAATTCTGATTTCTCTGAGTTAGTCTTTACTTTTGTAAAATAGTAGAAATGTGTTATCTGGAATTATTCCAGGTTATATGAATGATGGATCCTTTAATTTAAAATACTAGACTTGAATCACACTCTTTTATATAGGTAGCAGAAAACTTCCTTACATTTTGAAACTATTTCAATCTCGAAGCTATCCTGTTTAAACTGAGAAGCAATGCCAAGTTGATCTTTCACATTTTTGTTGTCTCAGAGGCTAACAAAAGACCCTATTTCTGATTGTCCCCTCCTAGGGACAGTGCCCACCTGATCACTTCCGTCCATTATCTCATGCCTACGCAAACTAGCTAGAGTGTGCCCCACGACCGTCGATTTTTATAATCCTTTTACAGGGAGGCTAACCAGGTAGGTGGTGCTTTTAGGAAGTGTAACCTGGCTCTGGCCATCAGTTTTCTCAGCAGGTTTTGAGAATGTGCGCCGGGGGTGGGGCCGCGACCTTAAGGCGGCGCACTCTCCGCCCGGCAGGCGGCGCTGTGGGCTGACAGAGGGCGCCAGCCGTGCGATCTGGTGCTGGAGCTGCCACTGTTGTCGCCTCCTCTATTTCAGCTGCACGTGCAACTGCTCCTGTCGCTGGTGGCCCGGGCTCGTCAGAACCCCCGGCTCAATCCAGGGCGGACCGGGTCCTGGCGATGGAAGCCAGTGCGGTGGAGACGCGTGTGTTCGTGGAGGTGCGCAGACGGCTGCAGAGCGCGCTGCTGATCGTGGGGTAAGGCCCGCCTGGGAGTGCTGATCCTGGGGTAAGACCCGGTTAGGCAGAGCCCAGCTCGCATTCTCCGCCTCCCTCAGAACCACGGATTTTGAGTTTCCTGTTTCTATCTGTTTGCGCGTCATGAGTACTCAAAGCGAAGCACCACTCCCTCCCCGCGACTGACAGCCGGCACATCTTTTGGGAGCATTTTAGAAGTTCGGGGTTTCAGCGCCACACCAGATCTGCTGAAGCAAAACTTAGACTTCTGACAATATTCCCCGGATTCAAATGCATGTTGAAGTTTGAGGAAGAGTGACGTAAAACACCATTGGCAGTATCAGGCCTTTCCAATAAAACCATAAAAAATGCCTGACTATCTTTATTCAGGATCATCCATGTAAAGATCAATTCCAATGTTGGGCTTCCTGTTTTGTAAATAACCTCGATTTGGGGATTTGGAGGTTGTTTGTTTTCTCTCCCCAAACCGCTCAATACAGAGGAACTGAGGGACACAATAAACCCATGTTCAGTGAATGCCTAAAAGGGATTGCAGACTTCTTATTGGAGCTCATTATCTTTTATTCGTATTCCAAGTTCCAATGAGAAGTCTGCAAACTTTTATTATTCACTATATTGACAAGAATTTCTTGGAAAAAAAAAAGTTCTCTTATTGTCAGCAATTTTAATGGTTTGTGGCCCTGTCGCCTACTTCCTTTTGACAGCTCTTTCAAATACAATAAGTGAGAAGATAAGATCCTGAAATTTTTTATTATATAGTGCCACAGCTAGATAGATGCTCAACTTTTCATCTTTTCTTTAAATCTGCCAAGATCTGGTGTGGAGGTTTTGGATTTGGGATGAGAACTGACTTCAAATCCTAGCTTCCTTGAAGATAGGTTAAATTAATCTGACTTTCTTCAATTTTAAAATGGGGGTATTAGTACTTCTGGATTTTTTCCCTTCTTTCTTTCAAAAATCATAAGTTCCCGCTGGAGTGTAGCTCAGTAGAGTACTTGGCTAGCATGCTGGAGGCCTGAGTTCAGTCCCTAGCAGTGCAAAAAAGATCTTTATTCTTGCTGAGTAGT